TTTTTATATTATATTTTATTTATTTGTGTTTTAATATTATTTTTAAGAACATGATTAAATATTAAATTCAAATCTAATTGGGTTAATTTGTGCATAATTCTGTATTAATTTATTAGACAATTTTCATGACACACCTTCCCTTTTTTCTAGGTTAATACAAATTTATATATGTTTTAGTGAAAAACATATTGAAAAAGTTTTATTAAGAACTTAATGGGTTTACATTGGTTTTTTTTTTTATATATAAAAACCACTTGATATCCGGAAGTCTATTGGGTCACGATTAATCTGGATTCAAGTCAGACAGGATTTAATGGATGATAAAACTCTCGCTTACAAGTTTTAACAAAATTACATTTTCAGTACTTGAAAACAAAACCTCTAATTAAACTAAAAGAGTTTTCTACCAACTCATTTACCCGCTCGTAAGTAATGGGTTTACATTGTGATATTCTTTTCACATAACTAATTATTACTAGTAATAAATAAGAGAATTTCTCTGGAAATTTCCCAATTCTTATATATGAATGATTTGAGGTTAACGGAACATAAAACCAATTTTCATACACAAAAGTTTTGATAGTTAAATTTCCCAATTATCATATTTGAATGATTTGAGGTTAACAGAACATAAAACAAATTTTTATACACAAAAGTTTGCATAATTAAGAAATGAAAATCTTTAAGACCAATTCCAATTGTGAGTTATGATTGATAGGGATTAGGAAAAGACATGATTGTAAGCAATAAGCCATGTTTTGGGTAAAAGAGCAACATTTTTTTCTCATCCGGTATTGCGTGTTGTGTTGTGTTGTGATGTCATGGTGTTCGCTATACCAATCTTGTTTGTGCAAAATGATGTCTCCATCCCCGATAATCGTCAACCACGAATGTTAAAATAAAATTTTTAATGATTTAAATAATTTAATAATTAATTTTTTTAAATAAAAAATTTTAAATTTAAATTATATGATATATGAATAAAATAAAATAAAAATAAAAAAATTATTTTTTATTATGCAACCAAAATAAAAAAAATATTAAAATAAAACTGGGCAAGCACACATCAATCATCATAATCATTTGATAATGAAAATATAAATTAGTAATCTTCATAGTGCTACAAAGTTTTTCATTGAGAATTTCTTTAGAAAATTAACGAAATTTTACAAATAAACTAATTTGATACGTTTTTAAATTTCTAGATCACTTTGGATGAAAATAACTCTTTAGATAAAATTTGTAATACTATAATAGATTAATGCTTATTTGTTTTATTTTTCAAAAATCAAGATAAAAATTATTTTAAAATATTTAGTAAAATACAATATTATAAAAAATAATATAATTCATATTTTAAAAATAAAATATTTTAATCACTAAAATGAGTTTTCCCATAATATAAATGCCAATAAACCAAAATATACTTATATTGAGTTTAGGCACTTTAAACCTTTATGGATTATTTTTTATTTCATGTTTATAAAACCATTCTAAAAAAACTTTCAACGGTTATTACCTTATAAAGAAAAAGCATTTTTTTTATGATGATTAAATATATGAATTCATGAGATTGGATTCTCTAAGTAATCAAAGTTTCACACATTTGCTAATTAAAGTGACATTTTATTTTTAAGAAAATCAATTACAATCTTACCTCAAAAACTACCTCACACAATCAATCAATATATATATATATATATATATTTATTTATTTATTTGGTACTCATGTATCGTGAAGTAATTGTGAAATAAGATCCTTCGTGTTATCTCTGTTTTATTTGTTGGAAACTTGGAAAATGTTATATGAAGAAAAGAGTGGAATTGATCAAAACAACCTTATACTTTTTAGGAACATGTCATTTTCAAAAAGATATCAAACTCAACCAGCTCTGTTACTTATGCTTCAATTAATGGAATCTCATTACACTATAAAAAATTTAAAATATTAAAAAAAATAGTAAATAGAAGAGTAGTACAAGCTTTCAAAATTCGCATTTGACTATAATATTCAATCTCCTTAGTTGTTTCCAATTATTGGTTATTAAATTTAGACTATATTTAGTGCAGTTTGATGGAGTTTTTGTTTTTTATTTTTATTGTTTATGAGTGATAAATTTAAAATTTTATTAAATAGAAAATTTAAAAATTACTTTTAGAAATAAAAAAAAGTGAGTAAAAAAATTGTGAAAATTTTGAATTTAAAACTTTTAAGTTTTTATTGTTTGATATCTTTTTAAAGTTAAAAAATATTTTAAAAATATAAATTAAAAAAAATTTAACTTATATAACATAAATAGCATAAAAAAGCTGAAGGTCTTAGAGGCACTACCAAACATGCCCTTAATATATGATATTTTTTATGGCAATCATGTGATATAAACGTTAAGTCTTTATTTTCATACACAATACTCATATCGAAAAACCAAACAAATATTAAATTTAGTTTGTATTAATTTGTTTCTTTTACATGCGTGACTATATTATATATAATATAATGAATATAGCTGTCTATTTTGTAACATCGAGAACTGGTCATAAAATATTTAAGATTTGTCAAGGAATGGATTATACTAATGACTCTGCATAGGTGTATTGGTGAATTAATCTTGCCCCAGAAGGATTGGTTTCTGTCCGCCGCAACTACTGGTGAAGGTGTGAAACTAGGTTTTAATGTATTTGTCACTAATCAACTTGTTCAACTACCATTAATGGTGTCTCATCCCCTCCCCCCCCAAGAAAAAAAGGGGGCGATTTGTTAAGGCCAAAAGTTTAGGTTTTTGTTGTAATTATTATTTTGCCTTTTTCTTCAATCTCCTTGTGGTATTTTACAATTTAATTAAATGAAAGGGTAATATAATAATTACAATAAAAAAATTTGTTTAATTTGTATTTTAAAAATATATGTTAAAGATATATTAAATATATATTTTTATTATAAATTTATATTAAAAAAATAAAAATTAACATTTAATTTATTAACTGTTTAATTAAATTTACCTATTTAGCACTAATATTAAAATTAATATTAACTTTAATAATTTTTTATATATATTTATAATAAAATATACCTCTTAGCATGTGATTTACAAAAACATGTTAAAAAAATCTTAATAAAATATATTTAAATTTTTAGGGACTTTAATAAATTGTCTGCTGGCAATAACCAGCCCCACCAAACCCTATCATTAATGGTGGTGAGGGAGTGCCTAAAGGCCAATTGGCCAAAACTCTTTTTGACAAAACTAAAAAGGCTTTCTGCCCCATTAGTGAAGACTTGAATCTGTGCATTTTCTTCTCCACAATCTTCCCAGTTCCCTCACATGTTGAAGTTGAACTACTTGCCCTGGTCAATATATATATAAAGCATTAATAGTGGGTTAGTTCAAGTGGATTAAAATTTTCTGCTATCTTCGTTTGCTAAACCTCATGTTAGAGATTTGTGGGCCCAGGTTAAAGGGCCATTGTCAATGTTTGGTCCAAGCTAAAATGCAGAGTTTGAGATGGATTTGGTGTAGGGACTACTTTTTTAGGATGAGTCGTGACAAATAGTCAAATAGAAATGCAAATCATTTCTGAAACCTGGATTACAAAGAAAATACTGTAGAAATTGCGAAACTGAAATACAGTTTACTGTAATTATGATAAATTGTAAGATAACAGGGGTTTTGGGGAATATTGAATTTGAGGGTTTATTTTATTTTATTTTTTATCAGCAATTTGAGGGTTTATTTAAAGAATCAAAATCATTTATACTCAACAATATGTTTGGGAAGAAATGAAAACACTTCAATAACACATGGAAGAAGAAACTTTCTTCACAAAACAAAATCCCAACTACTTTAGACAAGGGAATCCTTGCTTGATTTCTTCACTTCATGATCATCTTTGTCTTTTGCCAGGAGCGGTGTTTCGTCCTTATCTTTCAACTGAAAAGAACAAAAAAGGGGAAAAACCTATTAGCAATTCTTAATCATAAGTATACCTGTGTTGGACACTTGATCCTTAATTTATTTATGTGATTATGAATTAGTACCTGGGATGCCAATGAGTCAGGGGATTGTTTCTTCTTGTTCTCCTGGGTGCAGAAATACGAGTACAAGCCCATCCCAAAGATGGCTATGAGTATTCCGATCATGTTCCTTTCAGTGAAAGGGTCATGCAGCAGTGTGTAGCCAAAGCCAAGAACAAGGCATGTCTTGAGGTGGCCTAGCACTTGGTATGTAACAGGGGATGTCTTGCCAATAACCAGGAAGGTGCTGAAGTTCACTGAGACAGAAATTACGCAGGAGAGAATGATGAATGCCTGCAATTATAGGATCAAAACCTGTGATTAATCATCAATAATCCCCATGGCCTTCCAAAAGGAAAGAAAAGTTTGGTTTCATAATGCATACCAAAACTATAGGAGAGTATTTGTAAGCAAAGACATTTTGCCTGGTTAGGAACTGATCTACTAGAGGGCCTGAGACAAAAAGAACAGCTGCTTGGAATGGGGCTGACTGGTAAAGCAGCTGTGTAGAAGAGACATTCAGCCTCTTTTGTATTGTGTTTGTCAGCTGCATTCAACAAGTTAAGAATGAACTCTGTCATGAAAAGAGTTGGCCCCTAAAGTCATGAATATCCTTGACTATCAATTGATACTGGATATTTCCTATTCTATTGTCAGGAATTATAGTAAAAGGATACAATTTGGCCAACACAGGTGGTCACAATGGCAAGGAGGGAGAGAATTGTTCCCACAAAATTGAGCTGGAGATCTGTGATAGAGGCAATCCCAACCCCGACAAGCAGCAGGAACAGAGAAAACTTGATCTTTTGGCTGCAAATATTAGAAGAAAAAAAGAAAAAAAGCACTCAAGTAAGCTTAGCTTGGAAAGTTCTGTTAATTTAGTGAAAGTAATTAAGAATCTTTCATGAGCATAAAATACAACCTGAATTGTTTGTTCAGAAACAAGGTTTCCAGCAGTACCGTGAATGGGATGATTGCAAGTTTTGTCATCTGCAGACAATAAATATACTAATTAGAATAGGAGTTCGAAGATAACAAAACTGCAAGATTGAAGTCCAAATTAACCTGATAGAATCCAATAGAGTTGAATCCAAGGCTCAAGTTGAGAAAACCAATGGAAACTCCATTGAGAATGCCAAAGAGCATCACAGTTTTCATGTCGATTGATTTGCTCTCAAACAGATTGTATCGCTGTGCGGCATGAAGTGTGCAAAATGTTACCATCAGATGCCAACTGGTTAATGTTGTAGCTTCAGAAAGAGAAGAAGAATCAGGAAATTTCCAGGGAAAACAAAAAAAGTCTGTTTAAAAACAAATTTAAGAAATAAATGGAAGGCCGGAGGGGTTACCAAAGGGAAAGCCTAGATTGCTCATTAGAGCTTTGTTGCAGATGACAATGGAGACAGATGATGCCACTGAAAGAAACAGTGCCCCAATAACACCTAACTGGAAACCTGACATTTCTCCCATTTTCTGTGAAGAAATGTATCTGTTTAATGCAGATGAAAAATTTAAATTATCTACCAACATTACATTTCTCCAGATATTCTGAATATTGTTTCACTCATCCAAAAAAACATTGTCAAATAACCTTCCAATGTTGAATCGTGTTGAGAACTAAATAACTAATTGTAAAACTCCCTTCATGTAGACACAATGTAGAAGGCATACACATTGTATGTCTTACCTTGAAACAGGAAGCACCAAAAAGAAACAAAATTGTAGTTTAAGTAGCTCCTGAAATATTAGAAAAGAAAACTTTATTTATAAACATGTGTGCCCGAAGATACACTTAGAAACGTATATAAACAAAAGAAAATAAAGAATCTACCTTGAAAAGTGTTTAAGTGAGTTTAGAAGATTGATATAGAGCTCCTACAACTTCATAGGATCATTGAAGATAGCGGCAAGAAACTCAAACCACGGGGAGATATTGGGATTGAGAGAAGGAGAAAGACAGAGTTGATATATGTGTTGCTTGTACAAGAATGTTAACGTTTTGTAATGCTTTTTATTTCTGATATCTAGCTGTTTGGTGCCAAACCATAACCGGCAGGTTCTTCTCTAGGACCGTTTTTTACCTGCTAGTCCAGAAGAAGAGCTAACTATTAATGGAAGCAAGGAGACTGTCAATGTTAAATAACCCTGAAGATTGCAAAGACTACCCTTTTCAAATTACATAATTGCCAATTATCCTCCCCCTTTTTCTGTTTTATTTTTATTTTTTTAGAGAGGTTGGTTTGAACTTAAAATCTCTACCAGTCCGATTCTTTTTCCTTACTCTCATGGTCTTGTGAATACCAAAAAAACTCCATATGCTGGAATTTAGACCTATACATCCCCTAAGGGATGGGTAAGAAAAATCCTACTTGGTCTTGATTTCATTTATATTCGATTAAATTTTGGTTCCTTGGTTTTTAAAATTAGGGTTTGTACAAAATGTATAAAAAGGGTGTTTTAGTCCAATGGGGAGTGTTCAAATGATATAGCTGACCATCCCTTTTACCAGCTCACCAAGAAGGTGAGATGAACATTTTCTCTTACCCTTGATGCATTTATGAAGATATTAATCAATTGAGACTTTGCCTACAAGCCTGGAAGGTGTGATGAACATTTTCTTTTGTACATATATATTCAGCAGAGTAAGGTACCTGAAAATGCAAGCAAAAACAAGTTTGCCACCCTCAGGGTTTGGTGAGGAAACTTCAATCTCACTCCAAAGTCCCAAAACACACCATTTTTCTTAGCTTTCTTTAAGCATTGCCATATTACCTACCAGCTCAATTTGGGAAAATCTCTCATATTAAACAATCCCTAATCCATTACTTAGCTCCATTTTTGGTCCAAAAATCAACAGAAGCATCATATTTTAGGGTCAGGCCACCATTAGATTCAGCATTTCCTTTCAAAAATCATTGAGATTAGAATGTTTTTGACAACAGATTTGACAGTTCTCCTTTCAAATAATGTTTTGTAATTTTCACATGGTTTAAGTATTTTTCACTTCGGCTCAAAGGTCTTCTTCGTTTGGTCTTCAAGGACCAAAAATCACATTACTTAAGAATGTAACAAACATTGTTCTTGACCAGACATTAAAAGTGCAATGGTGTCCAACTCTCTTCAGAACTGCGTAAATGGTATTGATAAAATCCATAAAATTTTAGTTCGTCAGTCGAGCACATGGTACATGCTAATGAGTTCACAGAGGAAGAGGGTTCAGTCAATGTAAATGGCCCTTGGAGGCAAAAATTATACAGCAGAAGAAGATGATCTCAAACAACCTTAGAGGCCCGAAATCAGGTAGAAAAATAACCATGAGATTAAAAGGTAAAAAAATTTCACTTCCCATATACAACTATCAGAAATTCAGAACATATAAGACACTGATACAGAAGATTTTTGCTCCAAAAATCAGTTCATCATCTTCAGAAAAATATCATTTGCAGTTTGCAGTACTGACCCCTAAATATGGTCATCTAAAATGATACATGTACAGGAAAGGAGGAGAGATGGGTGGGAGTGCTAGTGGGGAAATGCACAAAATTACCCCTTGCCAGTCTGAGCAAGATATGCCTGGTCTGCTCTGGCGAGACGCTCTTGGAACATAGCCCACTCGTTTCTGCACCTTGCTCTCACCTGTAAGTTTAAAAGAGGAAGACTGAATGTGCCGGCTTTGGGATTTTACAAAGAGAAGTAACTCTAGTCAACAGTTAAGATCCATGTTATTTAAAATCAAACCAAACAGCATTATGTTTCTTGTCTTTTTAATTCTGAAAACAAACAAGAAAGCAACAATATACCAAACAGTAGTCTAAAGTAAGTTGAAAACGATGTCAAAAGAAAAATGAATAAAGTTACATTTAAAGAATAAGGTTATTAATAAATATGCATACCCCTTCCCAGGGAGCTTTCCCAACCTCAGCATTGCCCTGAAAATTAACAAATTTAAATTAATGAAATCATAATCAGGAGACAAACATGAGAGACATGTTGGATATGAATGCATCAGATGAAGTTGATGCTGCCATCCTATACTGGCTATCTACAAAAAAAAATCATCTGAATGAGGAACACATTTTGTATTCCATTAACTTCTTCAATTAAAGAGGATATCATTATAGCCATCAGCACCAGTTTCTTGCTTTTTACTCTTTTGAAATTCACACATATGAATACCATCAAACGTTTTCCTTTTTCATAGAAGTTCTGTTTCAATTAGAATTTTTATACAAGTGCTGAATCATGAAATTGTATAAAATAATTATAAATAATTTTAGAAATGCAAGAAAGTGATATTTAGTAAGTTGATGATAGCTCACCTGAGCCCCAAGAGAAGGAATTACTTGATGAATAATCCACTGTGAATCCACGACACCAATCTTCTCATGTGCAGGCTGAGTGAAAATTGATTAAAAAAAAAGCAATTAAGAATAAAGTTGAATAAAATGGTGCTTCTAAGTATCTTGTTAGTGGTTCTAATACCATCGCAACACAGATTTCCTAATGATTTAACTGTTCAACTAAAAGCAAACAATGAAGAGAAGGGAAGGGTCAAGAGATAGAAATCACTAACCTCAACGCATCTTCTGAGGGCGAAATCCAATCCCCATCCATGCACCAAATCATTCTACAGGTAAGCATTTAATTATTAGCAGAAGATAAATTGTAACTAAAGAAAATGAAACAAAATGCCATGTGCATACTCCTACCACAAGCCCATACTGATGATCCTTCCTTAAAGATCATGATCACATGACTCCAATAGTCGGTGTTACATGGTGGCTGAAGCTATCCCAAAATTTTAGTTTTTTATTTTATTTTTTCTAAGCAACTTTATTTGCAACTTAAGACTATCTGTTTTAACGAGGCACAACCAGAAATCAAATTATCTTTCTCAAAGCATATTAGCTGAGCTATTTATACCATTTCCATTTAACTCTAAATAAACATTTTACGGTGGAGGTAGCAGAGATGCAATGCAATGCAATGTACACCAACCCCTCTTGTATCTTTGTAGATGTAAATGAATGGGATCAAGAAACTGCACAATTAATTATATGAAAACACACAGCTACACAATCTTTAAATAAATCATACCTGAATCATATGCCACACACAACGCCAAGCTTCTTGAGAAAATACAGGGGCCATAATTTCCACAAAGCTGAAAAAATATAAGCAATGTTAAGAGAACAGGCCAAAGCTGAAATAGGCAACCATAATTCCTCCCAAACACAGAAACCTGCACATAGAGAGTGAAGAGAGAGAGAAAGAGAAGGAGTGAGGGAGGGAGGGAGAGAGAGAGAGCATACGCAGCACATGGTGGCAAATGGGGGTCACTGCACCAGCCTGGTTTCTCTTCGGTAACCCTGTTAACCAATTTGAAATGCGTTTAGATAAAGCATGATTTTCAATTAGTAGATCCTAATATCTGTATGTCATGAGAGAGAACCTACATGTGAACTTCTTTGTCACCTCTCCTCTTTGTCATCTGCCATGTTAGTCCATTATTGGGCTCCAAGCCTGGTTGAGAGATCTCCAGACCATGTTTCTTGACCAATTCTATGTACCTGGTAATTCATATTAGCAAATTAGAAAGAAATATGTAAATATTGGTATTGGCAAGTTAACTAGTTCAAAAGAACACACCTATCTCCATTGAAGTGTTCTACTCCAAGATCTTCATCCCAGATGAAAATATATTCATAAGCAGCAACAATATCAGGATGCAAAAACCTTTTTGCATACCACCTAAAAGCATACATAAAGTTGAGATTCTTAAAAACTCTCTTGCTAGAAGCTGAAAGGTAGGAACACGACTTTATGCAACATCATGTAAGTTACCATTTTGTTTGCTTCCTCACACTAACATGGATTGCACTTTTTGACCACTCAAATTCATCCCATTCACTTGTCTGACCATCATAATGAAAAAGCAAAATTTGGAAATCCTCTGAAAACTATCAAAAAATAAAGAAAACAAGAATATCAGTCTTTCTGAAATCACAACTATAAAAAAAGGGAAAAAAGGCACGGTCCTGCAATTTGCCTAACCTTTTTAACACAAGCATCTATATTTCTCCTCTGGTCAAGACCAACTGTAAATGTTACCAAGTACTTGGGCTTTTTCTTCAGATCCTGCAAATTGCAGAGAAAATCATGATAAGACCATTCTTATAACCAGGATAGTTAAGAGAATGTATGGTCAGTAAGACAGTGAACCTTGGGGACTTTTCACAAGAATTTCGCAGATCATAAAATTCATTAAATGCATGTTCTAAGTTCCTGAAATTAAATTATACATCATACCTCACTGGGTTCCCCCCACAATCTGCGTAAGTAGAAGTCAGATTCGGGCTCAATAATGCCTGGCGGTAATAGTTCTGCACCACGAGGATTTGTTGAAACATATATCTAGGCAAAATAAACAAGTGTCAAGACAATTACTGAACTAAATAAAAAGCAAGCATTATACCAGCTTTCTGAACACAAAGCACTCTACCATACACAAAAAAGATATAGAAAAGCCAAGCTGATCTAGACAGGAATGTAATTGATCAAAAGAGCAAAAGCAAATGAAATGAAACTTTTTATCATTGTCCCAAGAGGCAGAAACATGTAAGGCATCACTCCTTGGCATTATGGTATGAGCCTCAAAAGTCAAGGCATAAACCATTGAAGAATGGTTAAAGAGCAGGGCAGCATAGATACCTTGGGAACATTCACTGACCGGCCTTTGGTTTCAAGAGGGTATCTATGTTCTTCAGATACCGCTGTATCAATAGGTGATATAAGACTTGGAGGTAAGTGGATCTGTAGGAATTAAAAGCAGATCAAATGGTGATAGGTATACTGCAATTAAGGTGCATACTGATGGAAACAAAGTTACCTTGCTAAGAGACCCTGATGGAAATGAAATTCCAATAAAATATCCGAACACTATTCCCAGAATTGTTGTCATCACAATTCTTGCACCATCACGTGTTCTTTTAGAAACCCCACTGCAAAGCATTGAGAGAATTCAGTAGAACGGACAATAAAAATTGTCATGAAAAGGTAACAGATAAGTGTGTCTGAGCAATTTCAAGACATAAAACCAACGAGAATGCTAAAAAATTAGTGTCACTTTCTAACAGAGAAAGAAAATATGCAAGCAGATAATCCCAACCTGCGGTGCACATGAGCCATCCTGGTACTCTTTTCCACTCGGTTTAGAAGGTTAGATGCCCAGAAGAAGACTTCTCTCTCCTAAGCACCTTTTAGGGCAAAAATAGCATTCTTCAAGTTGAGGAAAGCAAATCAAGCCTTCAAGAGAGTATGACTCCTGACCCATATGACAGTTCAAGGTTAATTTCAGACCCTTTATGTCAAAATACAAAAGGAAGATCCTTACACTTAACATTTTGAAAAATTCCACCGAAAGTTCATACATACATTCAACATTCCTGATCTAAACATTAAAAAATATAGCAAAATGAATTCTTCTGCGATCCCAATCTCAGAAAAACAACAAAAGGGGAGAACTTTAAACAAAAAAATGGATTCAATTAGAGGTAAAAAATTTTCCCATTTGCACAAAAATGCTAACATAAAGTCTAAAACTTTGAAAACATGCGTATCGAATTTCGTAACTAAATCAAGAAGAAATAGAACAACCGTATGAATTTCGATCAAGAAGTTATTTGATGAAAAAAAAAAAAAGATTAGTAATTTCGACTAAGTCGTAGAAAAATGTTTAGAGACTTACGTTCTTTATTTGATCTGGCGCCACCAGAAGAAAAAGCCAACACCAACTGGAGTTTGCAGTTTGTTTTCCTGTCGAAGCACAAAATACACAGAGCTTTTTTCATAACTTTTGTATTTTATCACTTCAATAAAATAAAATGATTTCTTTAAATCAAAATCCTTATCAAGAAATTAAAATAAAAAACAATGTTTTTCGAATTTCATTTTCTGAATTTCAGTTAAAATAATAAAATGTGATAGGTCCACCCCTGTGTTTGTTCTCCCCCATTACGGTCCAGAGAAAATGTGCCACGTATGATGGCATTTTTGTACTAAAAGAAAAATGGAGCAGGGTTGGATATATAATATAATTAAGGTTTGTTTATTTTGTATTTTAAAATCACTTGATAAAAAAGTTATTATGAAATAATAATTTTGACATTTTATCTTAGAAAAAGTAAAATTTTACGGAGTATATTAATTTTTTTTAATTTTTAATCTTAAATAAATTTGAATTTTGAATTTAAAATTAATTGATAAAAATTTAATACGTAATATTTATAATTAAAATAAAAATTAACGTTATTTTTTAAATAAAAAATAATTACTCTTTATTTAGGATTTAGATAAAACAATTTTATAATATATAAAATATATCTAAATTATATTTTAAAAATATAATAAATATATTTTTAATTTATATATTAAAAAAAATTACAAAAATTAAATAAATTTAATGAAAGTAAGATGACATCATATGGAATTCAAAATTCAAAAACGAGAAAAAAGTCAAAGATTACCTAGAAAAGTTAAAAGGAAGCAGAAGGGTAGGATTAGGAAGTAAAAAAATTCGGAAGAAAATACAAAAAAAAAAAACAGAAAAGGCTAGGCTTGTCGGTTGTCTGGGCCTACACATGCGGTTGTCGGTTGTTGGGCCTAGGAGCCGACAACTGCTCGCTTGGGCCTTCGGTTACAACCGCAACCGATGCTCAGCTCAACCGATTACAAAAAAACCCAACCCATTTGTT